TACAGATGACAAATGTTAGACAGAAGCCCCCCCCCCCCCCACATCCAATTAGCATCTCCTAACTCATCCTGGCTATAGCCTGCCTTAAAATGCACAACGTTCTCACTTCCCTAGCTTTTCAGACATAACATAGTTATGTGGCAAAAAAAAAAAAAAAAAAAAAAAAGAGAGAGATTTATTTTTTATTCATCAAAAAAAATATTCTAAATCTAGAACTATTCTTATTAGCAATGATCTAAGAAGCTGAAATCCAGCCTACAGTCTTTTCTTTTTCCATATTTGCAGTGCCATTAACTGAGTTAGACAGTAAAAATTTAATATAGAAGCCTCTGCAGACTTTGAACATAACTATCTTCTTTTAGTTATCATTCATTGTAATATTTTGGCATAAGTTTATTAATTGACAATATTGACTTCCAGTCAACACCACAGTTCTCCAGATAAAGTATAATTATTTAACTTTCTTTATAATGTTTTTATGACGGCTCCTGCTTTTTAGGGTGCCTCTGATCAAGTCTACCAAGCAAATACATTTGATTTAGGATCGAATTAATGTTTTATCATGAACTGTTTTGGCCTATACACAAACCTCATTAATTTCTTCCCAATTTCAAAACTTCTTTGGATAGTCACCTTTAAGCCTCTTCCTTAGATGAGCCCCTTGGCAATATCGGTCCCTTTCTTTCTTCTAGAATGTATTATGGGAGAACTTGAGTAGCATTCACTCCTTGTATGGGGCTAACGGATCAGGAGCTGCATTACAATTCCCCTACCCCTCTACTGCTCTCCTAAGAACCACGTGGAGTTGGGTTATTTCACCACTGGCTGGGAAAGTGTCATTTGCCATAAGTAAGTCAGGATTGTTCTCTCCGCCTCCTAACCTAAAGAACCCTTGCTTTTCCCTGATGGTATCACTTTTCCAGAACCTGGAACATATGCTGCTTGTTTTCTCATATCCCAGAGTCTCCAAACAGGAGATGGAACCAGCATGCTCCCAACCTCCCCACAGAGCTCTTTCACTCGGGGCCAATTCTGCCTTCGCTCAAAACCTCTCCCCTGAAGACCTTGGCTTTCTTTCTAAGCATCGTGATCATCCAATCGACCTCTTGCCTCACATTTCACTGACTTCCTCTATCCCAACAATTTTAATTGCGGCTCTAATAACTTACTCCCACTGCTGCTCAGTGGAGCTTGGTTCCTGGAACTACTTCACCTCTGACATTTCAGAGGAGAAAAATCCCACTCCATAAAGGGGGGAAAAGTCTTCCTTCCGTTGTTCCCAGTCCCAAGACCTCTGCTGTCTTATTGCAACTTCACCTCCAGTCCATACACACACACACACACACAAACACACTCTCCATTCATCAGCCCCATGGGTGTCCCTTCCCCTCTCTCTAGCCCATGCCTTGTAGTCAAGCATTTCAGCAACACTTGCTGGTCTCTATCCCTGGAGGAAGCCACCCATCTACTTTATCTCCTCAAGGTCATGTTCCGCTGGGTCCTACCCAAGGAAAATCTAACTGTGTATAAATGGACACCCATTGGGGCTGTGTGATTCCTAGGAAGGCAAGGCCCTCAGGCAATGGGTCTTCTGCCATCAGGTATTCACTACAGAGGCTCTGCTAAATATTTTCAATAACACTTAAACCATCCAACCCTCTCTAGCATTTACAGGGGGCAGCAACGCATATGCCAAGTATTATAATAGGACACAAAATCTACTGTACCAATAACCATCATAACCCTCGAGCAGTTAGTTAAGCGCTCTGCCTCATTCCTCATTTGCAAAGTGAAATAGCATTATTGTCCCCATCAGACTGCAATGGGTGTGGAATGAGATAATGTACTGGAAGTGTTAGAGTCACTATATAACTCACAGCCCTCAATCAAGAGAAACTACTAACTGCAGAGGATGATGGTGATGATGAAGATGGCCACCCTGCACAGTTAGTGCTATTCCAATTTTGCAGGTAAGAATACTAAGGACACAGCCTCACACTGCTGGAAGCCAATTCCAGCATGTCATAATTGCAAGAGTTTCCTCGAAAGGTTGGCGGAACTTGGAGACTCAACAAGAGCCAAGTTACCTATGTTATCACCTTTGGGAATGGCTAAAGGCATTTCCTCAAACCTGAAAAGGATGATTGTTTGCTGCCAGACAGCTCAGGGCATCTTAATTTACATGTTGTTGCCTCCTACTGGCCAAACAGGTAGGTTATTTCCCAATCTGACAATGGATTCTGTAGACAAAACCCTACCCTTTGAAATGTATATCTCCACCTTGCCTTAGGACAAATTGTGTTAATAAAAAGCAAGGGGTCCTGAGATAATGAGAACTTGGCTCCTTTAGCTAGGCTCCTCTGACCCCCAATGCCTTTCAAAATTATCTTTCATCTCTGGACTCTTACTTAATCTATACACCAACGTTAAATGTCACCCAATGTCCTTCATTAATGAGCTACTAACTGCAGAGGATGATGGTAATGATGAAGATGGCTACCCTGCGCAGTTAGTGCTATTCCAATTTTGCAGATAAGAACACTAGGGACACAGCCTCACACAGCTAGTAAATGGCAGCAGATCTCTCTGTTCCCCAAACGCATGCTTTGCCATGCTATCCCCACCAATCCTCCACACCCTGCCCACTACTTCACAGAGCATGGGCCCATCAGACACCCTCTGGTTAGTAACAAGGAACAGAGAGCTGATAAAAGTGCTTTACATACAGAAATTAATTAAGGGTTCCAAGGAAACTCAAGTCTGGAGATTCGTAATTTCATTTTTTTAAAAAGACAGAGTTACAGCATGTTTTATGTTAACTCATTCCAAGATAATTTTCTCTCCAGCTGCCACCTTTCATAAGAATAAAACTGCTTTGTCAAGAAAGGAATCTTAGTGAAATGTCACTTTATAAGTTTTAAATGAAAGAAGCACTTAAGTTATCTTGCTTACAGTGAGTGGCTATGGTCTTTTACTTTTAACAGCAACTACTAAGTCTGAGTCAACTTGCTTAATAGCATTTCTTATTTGAAACATATTTATAACTACTGCTTAAAATTTTAAGTTGAGCCTTTTTTTAATAACATGAAAATTGGCCTACATGGAGAAGATGCTTTGTTTCTGCCTGCCCAGTTGTAATTGCCCCCATTCTCGTAACAACATCCCAATTTTTCATTGGAGTGGGAACCACTCTCCCACTTTTTGGCCTTATAGAACTAATGGCACTGATTGGCTACAGCAATGGGCACATGACCTAGGCCTGGCCAATGAGAAGCTCACGTTCCCTGGCCCACTGACGATTTCAGAAAGAGACACAGCCTCCCCCTAGAACTTTTTTTTTTTTTTTTTTAATATATTCTATTGATTTTTTACAGAGAGGAAGAGAGAGGGATAGAGAGTTAGAAACATCGTTGAGAGGATCATCGATCAGCTGCCTCCTGCACACCCCCTACTGGGGATGTGCCCGCAACCAAGGTACATGCCCTTGACTGGAATTGAACCTGGGACCTTTCAGTCCGCAGGCTGATGCTCTATCCACTGAGCCAAACAGGTTTCGGCTCACCCTGGAACTTTTAATCAAACCACAAGGAAAGAGAAGCTCTTTTCCCACAGGAATCATTAAGCTGATAAGACATAAACTGGCATCTCCATCGCCACTTGGGGAAAGCTGCCTGAGCCTGGAGCCAAAAACAGGAAGGTGGAGCTGAGGGCGTTCGTTCCTGTCATTTGATTACCTGAACCCAGATCGTGAGGCCAAGCCCCTGGAGCTTTTCCGTTACACGTGCCAATAAATTCCTTTTTGTTTGTTTGTTTAAGCCAGTTTAAACTGGGCTTCTGCCATCTCCATCCAAAAATATCCCAACACAACCTGTTTGTGCCAACGAGCTAAGATCATTCATTGCCGTTTAAAAAAGCATGGCTGATCTTTGCAGGTTTGTGAAAGCGGCCATATGTCATCACATTGAAGCCACTTCTGTTTTGTTCTGCATGTCACTGCACTGAGATTTAATTTTAAAGAGACAGAGGGAGGGAGAAAAGGGAAGGCTCACTCCCAGATATGCATGTGAGTCTGTCTTAAGGCGATTTAATTTTATATATCTTCACCCATGCATTCCTCCTTATCTAGAGTTTCTAAGGTTAATCTATATTTTTAATCCTTGTCGCCTGTTCTAACACCTATTTCCATCAATTATTTTCTCCCTCGCCACAGATAACCCCCTCCCCAAACCACCCTCAGCTTTTCTAACTCTACTGGTTTCAACCCTTTAGCCTAAAAGTACACCTACCGTGTTTCCCCGAAAATAAGACATCCTCCGAAGATAAGACCTAGCGCACAGAAAGATAAGACATCCCCTGAAAATAAGACCTAGCGCAACTTTGGGAGAAAAAATTAATATAAGACACTGTCTTATTTTCGGGGAAACAGGGTATATATCCTCTGCGCAAAAATTAAATAAAAGGGTAACAGACTTCAATGTACAAGGTCAGACATACACACAATTGGGCAGAATTAGAAAAAAATGGAATAGTGTAAACTATTAATGATGGTTGTCTCTGGTGGCAGAATAACAGCTGATTTTTTTCTCTTTTAACTTTTCTGCCAGCCTGCTTGGCTAGGTAGTTGAGCATCAACCTATAAACCAGGAAGTCATGGTTCAATTCCTGGTCAGGACACATATTGCGGGCACGATCCCCAGCAGTGGGCATGCAGGAGGTGGCCGATCAATCAATGATTCTCTCTCATCATTGATGTTTCTCTCTCTCTCCCTCTCCCTCTCAATATCAATTTTTTTTTAAAATCTATGGGGGGGGGGGGAGTTACAATCTCATTCTTCAAATAGCACTTTAGTCATAAACCAAATGATAATCTCGATTTGTACATAGTACAGAAAGTATTTCCATGTCTCTTCGGCCATACCTACATATATCTAAAGGTCATAATCATGAAATGAGTGTGTTCCTTAGGAAGAGTTTAGCAAATCATAATATTAAATACTTACACATCTTTAGCCGCTCCTGCAGGGCCTAGGGGAGAAAAAAAAAAAAAAGTAGGTATGTATTCGTGAGATAGTATTGCCACAAAATTTTTCAGCCCCCCACCATAGAATTTAAGCCCAATACCCAAATAAAATAATATTCTACAAGATGACTTAAGAATATGGTGCTTTATTTCAGGACAAGGGGGACAAGACAATCATAAAATTCAAATCCTAAATTTAGAATTTATTCTGCCCATATTTAGCAATTCCTATATATTACAAGGAGGTGGTTCTGGAGGGATTTTACAGACCACCTAATCCAATCTTCTCATTTTACAGAGAAAGAGACAGATGGATTTGAGAAATATTTTCTTTTCTTTTTTTTAATATATTTTATTGATTTTTTTTAATTTATTTTTTTACTGGGAGGAAGGAAGAGGGATAGATCAGCTGCCTCCTGCACACTCCCTTCTGGATATGTGCCCACAACCAAGGTACCCGCCCTTGACTGGAATCGAACCTGGGACCCTTGAGTCCGAAAGCCGACGCTCTATCCATTAAGCCAAACCAGTTAGGGCGAGAAATACTGTCTTTGCTAAGCCACAGCCCTTCTAAGCTGGTGCCTATCTGGCATTGTGGTATGTCACACTCTGCACTAGTCACAAAGTAAAGCAAAGTCAGGAGCCAAAAAGGTGACGTCCTTCGTGAAGGAGGAAGTATCAAGGTCACCAGCCCAGCTCCAGAGGAGTCACATAGGTTTGTAAGGGCGCTCACACTTGCCACGGGGCCCTCCCATTTCTGCTTCCCACTGACTTGCCAGAAACAACCCATCTCTTCTGGACCCCAGTCTTATCTCTCATCACAGGTTCCCTGCCCACCACACATTGTCTCCACACTCCCTTCTCCTAGTCCCCTTACCTAGCGACACAGAGCTTGGTTCCAACTTTACCATCCACGTAACAGCCAGTGTCCTTCAACCTCTCAAAACCTCACTTGCCTCCTGTGTCAAATGAGGGTAATAAGAGTAGCTTCCTCAAAGGTTATGAAGATTAAAAAAAAAAACACACAAAACTATACATTTAAACACGGCACAAAGTCTGGCCATAAAAATAGCTCAGTTGTTATTATTAACAGTCACATTCCACTTCATATCTCGATTTCCATATCCATGAAATGGAAATTAAAATAACTTCTGCGCAAATCACAGATATATCAAAAGAAAGAAAGATGTGCTACAGAGTAAGCAAGTGAGTCTGCAGGGAAAGTTACTGCCAGGACTCTGCCCTGGGGATACTAATTTAGGACTGTCCTGCTGCAAAATCAAGACTGTGTATCAAACAAATACGTTTAAGGCTTTGACCAAACCTGAATTTTGTTACAAACATAGCTCCTTCCTTCGGGGAAGGGAAATATTGCTGTGCCACAACTATCATTTATATAAATAAAGAGTGCTTTGGCATCTGAGATCATAAAACCAAAAAAATCCGAAAACTTAAAAAAAAAAAAAAAAAAAAAAATCTTAACATAAGAAACACTGCCAGCAGCGGCGTAACTTGAGATAGAGAAAAAATAAAGGATTAGTGCCACCAAAAACCGTGAAAATGAACATTTTATTTCAAAGTCAAAACAAGTATGAGAATCTGGAAGACAGTCCAGAATTAAAATAATACCCTTATTTTCTCATTTTTATTTGCATGGAAAAGGACAGGGAATTGAGGGGCTTGGTGTGGTCAAGAAAAGGGAGAAACACAAGTACCAGAAACTTGATTCTGTGAAGTGTTACTGGGAAAAGAAAGCCGAGACCATCCTGAGGACCGTGACCCCCTCGGCAATGAAGGGCCACCTAGTGCAACCCACAGGGAATGAGGAGGGGGCAGAAGCCACCCCCTCCATCTCAGCGGGGGCAGCAGGCTGGCAGGAAAAGAACACCCTGGGATCGGAAGGCAGACGGCCCGTCAAGTCCTTGTCCCGATATCTGTCTTTCAGCCAATAGATGACCGTGCTTCGGTTCCTAACGCCGGTGGGTGAAGGCCCCTGAGAAGACAGCTCAATAATGTGTGTGAAATTAGCTTCCAAACAGCACCGTGCTGTCTAATCAGCACTTATTTTTATCGGCCACCAGGAACCCTCCATCCACTTCACCTCGATTGCACCGGCTCCGGGCACCCAGGGGCCTCTGCCCAGCTGGGTTCTCCATCTCCCATCCCGGCAGCCACGGCAGAGGCCCGGAGTCACCTCCCCAAAGGAAGTCAGAGATCGTGTCTTTGTTCTCAAATGTCCCTTCCTCACATCGCCATCTATGTAACGATGGAGACGAGGGCAAAGGAGTCAGGAACACTTCTTCAAGGACATACATATAATTATAATGCATACTTTGTTTTTATGAAGGGAAGGAAATGTGCAAGGTAAGATGGTATTTTAACTTTACAAGGGCAGCTAGTACATGATCCCCGGACACACAACTTCTCAGGGGGGAAAAAATGACAGTCATTGGGAAAAAATTGCTATTGTTGAAAACCCCCAGCAAAACTCTCAGAATATCTAGCAATATAAAACATGAAATATCTTTGTTCAGCAAAAGTATGAAATCACAAAATAGAATATATATCGTGCCAAAACCGGTTTGGCTCAGTGGATAGAGCGTCGGCCTGTGGACTGAAAGGTCTTGGGTTCGATTCCGGGCAAGGGCATGTACCTTGGTTGCAGGCACATCCCCAGTAGCGGGTGTGCAAGAGGCAGCTGATCGATGTTTCTCTCTCATTGATGTTTCTCTCTCTCTCTCTCTCTCTCTCTCTCTCTCTCTCTCTCTCTCTCTCTCTCTCTCTCTCTCTTCCTCCCTGTAAAAAATCAATAAGATACATATCTTTTAAAAGTATATCATTTCCCTCACTGCAACATTTTAATCACCAAAATACTGATCATCCTTAACAAGACATAGGTCTCTAATTTATGCAGAAAAGTACCTGGGTTAGAACTATTGTGTGTATGGTTCCCGGGATTTGTCATTTATTAATCAACTAATTATAGTGGTGTGTGTCCACCTCCTTCCAGGCCCCGGGAACAGAGCAATCATCCCTGTTAGCGCCACTTCATTTCCTGCCAAAATGACTCTCCTTTTTAAAGGCAGCCCGGGTGTATTAACATAATGGCCTTAGGAGGAGTAGAGGTGAAACAAGGTAGCTATGTGTCTCCTGGAATAAAAGCACCACAAAAACAAACGGGCCATTAGTTTTTGTGGGTCAAAGAGTTAATGACTATTTTCCAACTGTGTGAACCATCACCATAATTTTAAATACCTTCCTAAAATGTAGCAGGGGGGGGGGGGGTTCCTTTCATGCAGCTCTAGTGACAAAAAGTAATCGTAAGTGGGTGCAATAAGCCAGTAAATTTAAACTGGAAAGTGAAAATCCTGTCTGAGTTCAGAGAGCCTTTCTAACAAATGATCAAATCTGAGGATGGGGCTGGGGATGTCCCCCCAAAAGTGTGAGGAATCTGGGGACACAGTGCTTGTGACTGGCACCTGGGGGCACCGAGCCCTTAAACCTGTGGCGACCGACACTGCGTGGAGTTAGTGTCAGACCCGACTTGAGCTGGAGGACACCCAGCTGGTGTCGGGAAAGCGGAGAACTGGGTGGTATCAGGAGAAAAAAAAACCTCAGATATCCGTCAGGCTTTACAAAATATTTTATAAAAATGTGGTCTCCTACTAAATGAGACTCGGAACCACCTTGAGGTGCTTTATGAACCTCAGCAGGATGGAACTGTGCTGTATGTACTTCAACCAGTGGTTATTTACATCCCGAGTACAGAGTTTTTAATGATATTTTCTTATATTCTAATCTTGTTGAAAGCCTCCTGTATCAGTGTGCTATGGTTGCTGGAACAGATCGCCACAAACTGGGCGGTCACTGGTGATGCTCTGAAGTTCAGGAGGACAGGACAAAACCAAGGTATCGGTTCCACACTCCCTCCCAGGGCCACAGGGCAGATTCCACCCCTGCCTCTTGGCATCTGTGGCCGTGAGCATCCCAATCCTCCACATTGACATTCTTCTTTGGCAGAGGCCACTTTACTCAGCTCAAACTCATACCACCTTCTTCTCTCCTCTTCCTCCTCCTCCTCCATCCTCCTCCTCCTCCTCCTCTTCTTCCTCCTCCTCCTCTTCTTCCTTCTCCTCCTCCTCTTCCCCCCCCCCCTCCTCCTCCTCCTCCTCCTTCTCCTCCTCCTCCTCCTCCTCTTCAGTTTCTCATAAGCACACATATCTTCAGAGCATCACCAGATAACCTAAGATGAACTTCTCATCTCAAAATCTTTAACTTGATTACATCTCAAATGTTCTTTTTCCAAATAAGAGAGCATTCACACATTGAAGGATTAGGACATGGACAGAACTTTTTAGGTTATAAAAAGTTCTAAACCTTCTTATCTCTGTCCCCACCCCACTCCTTCCAAAACAGAAATTCTCTTTTGAACAGAAATATATAGCAAAGTTAATATTTGAGGGAGAATTAAATTTTATATAACTTGGCAAACAGAGACAAAATTGTATTCCTAATGAAGGATAAAGCAAGCCAGCTACAAGATACATCAGTTCAGTAATTTTCATCTTGGTTCCTATACACACATATCCCTTTTCAACCTAATCCAGTCTTACAAGTTAAAAAGAGTGAGCTAAATTCCCAGTATGTTTTTATTGTTTTTCAGATTCATATACTTATTGTTATGAGTTCCTCACACATGTCTAGTTCTAATACAAAAAAAAATACTTATCTTTGTAAAAGAAAGATCACATACATTTTTACTTTTGAAAAGGTAGTCTAATTTATGCCTTTTTTTCATCACCACTCTATATGCATTTTATAAAGTTGATGTAATATACTGGAAATATTCACACAAGTAAATGAACTGTTAAATTATAGTTCATTAAATCATATTTATTTTTTCAAACTAAGTGGTGATCATTTAAACACACATACCAAAAAACTAAAATTACATACACAAAGAATTTCTAAAAAGTACTAAAGATGTATGTCTTCTTTCACCATA